GGACTAGCCCAGACCCTCCACCGCGGAGAGCCCCAGGCGCCTTTACCGAGTTTCATTTTCAGTTTAGGCCAAAATGCCCGAGGGTTGGTCCGGGCGGGGCGGCGCTGGATGGGTCCGGCTGACCTCGGGGACCCGGCCAGGGTCTCACAACCTCCAGGGAATGATTGGCTGCGATGTGGGGCCGGATGGGAGCTTCCTCCGCGGGTATCTCCAGTTCGCCTATGACGGCAAGGATTACATCTCCATGAACGAGGACCTGCGCTCCTGGACCGCCGCGGACCCGGTGGCTGAGATCACCCAGGGCAAGTTGGAGGCGGCCAACGTGGCGGAGCAATCGAGAGCTTACCTGAAGGGCGAGTGCGTGGAGTGGCTCCTCAGATACCTGGAGAACGGGAAGGAGAGGCTGCAGCGCGCGGGTACCAGGGCATCGGGAGCCTTCCCCACCTACTATAGAACTCCCGGATGGCCTCCCACGAGGAGGGTAGGGAAATGGGATCAGCGCTAGAATATCGCCCTCCCTTGAATGGAGAATGGCATGAGTTTTCTTGTGTTTCCTCTGAGGGCCCCCTCTGCTCTCTAGGACAATTAAGGGATGATGTCTCTGAGGAAATGGAGGGGAGTACAGTCCCTGGAATACTGATCAGGGGTCCCCTTTGACCCCTGCAGCACCCTTGGGCACCCTGACTTTTTCTCACAGACCTTATTCTCTGCCTCACACTCAATGTGTTGGAAAGTCTGATTCGGGCTTCTCTGAGTCCCTCAGCCTCCATTCAGGTCAGGAGCAGAAGTCGCTGTTCCTGCCTCAGAGACTAGAACTTTCCATGGAATAGGAGATTATCCCAGGTGCCTGTGTCCAGGCTGGGATCTGAGTTTTGACACCCCAGGTGTCCTGTCCATTCTCAGGATGGTCACATGGGTGCTACTGAGAGATGCAAAGTGCCTGAATTTTCTGACTCTTCCCATCAGAGCCCCCAAAGACACACGTGACCCACCACCCCATCTCTGACCATGAGGCCACCCTGAGGTGCTGGGCCCTGGGCTTCTACCCTGCGGAGATCACACTGACCTGGCAGCGGGATGGGGAGGACCAAACTCAGGACACGGAGCTTGTGGAGACCAGGCCAGCAGGGGATGGAACCTTCCAGAAATGGGCAGCTGTGGTGGTGCCTTCTGGAGAAGAGCAGAGATACACGTGTCATGTGCAGCACGAGGGACTGCTGGAGCCCCCGACCCTGAGATGGGGTAAGGAGGGGGATGGGTAAGGAGGGGAATGGGGGTGTCATGTTTCTTCTCAGGGAAAGCAGGAGCCCTTCTGGAGCCTTCAGCAGGGTCAGGGCTGAGGCCTGGAGTCAGGGGCCCCCACCTTCCCTTCCTTTCCCAGAGCCATATTCCCAGTTCACCATCCTCACTATGGACACCATTGCCTGCCTGGCCATCCTGGGAGCTGTGGTCATCGGAGCTGTGGTCGCTGATGTGATGTGAAGGAGGTTGAGCTCAGGTAGGGAAGGGGTGAGGAGTGAAGTCTGGGTTTTCTTGTCCCTTTTGGGGTTTCAAGCCCCAGGTAGAAGTGTTCCCCTGCCTCATTACTGGGAAGGACCATCCACACATGGGCTGACCCAGCCTGGGGCCCTGTGTGCCAGCATTTATTCTTCTGTGAAGCACATGTGACAATGAAAGACAGATGTATCACCTTGATGATTGTGGTGTTAGGGTCCTGATCCCAGCATTCACAAGTCAGAGGAAGGTCCCTGCTAAGGACAAACCTTAGGAAGGCAGTTGGCCCAGGACCCCATACTTGCTTTTCTTATGTTTTCTGATCCTGTCTTGGGTCTGTAGTCATAGCTCTAGAAACTTCTCTTGGGACCAAGACTTGGAGTTTCTGCTAAGATCTCATGGCCCTGCCTCCTCCCTGTCCCCTCACAAGAAGTTTTCTTCCCATAGGTGGAAAAAGAAGGAGCTACTCTCAGGCTACATGCAAGTGGTGGGGGCGGGAGTGTGGAGGAGCTCACTCACCCCATAATTCCTCCTGTCCCACGTTTCCTGCGGACTCTGACCAGGTCCTGCTTTTATCCTAACCCAGACAGCGACAGTGTCCAGGGCTCTGATCTGTCTCTCGTGGATTACAAAGGTGAGACACTGGGAGTCTGAAGTGGGCAGGGTTCAGGGCAGAGGGGACCGGACTGGGTAAGGTGGATTCTTTGACTGGGACATTTTGAGTGTGTGGTGGGCTGTTCAGAGTGTCATCACTTACCATGACTGACCTGAATTTGTTCATGACTATTGTTTTCTGTAGCCTGAGACAGCTGCCTTGTGTGGGACTGAGATGCAGGATTTCTTCACGCCTCCCCTGTGTGACTTCAAGAGCCTCTGGCATCTCTTTCTGCAAAGGCATCTGAATGTGTCTGCGTCCCTGTTAGCATAATGTGAGGTGGTGGAGAGACAGCCCACCCCGTGTCCACCGTGACCCCTGTCCCCACGCTGACCTGTGTTCCCTCCCCAGTCATCTTTCCTGTTCCAGAGAGGTGGGGCTTGTGTCTCCATCTCTGTCTCAACTTCATGGTGCACTGAGCCGCAACCTCTTACTTCCCTACTGAAAATAGAATA